AACAAGCCGGTCATGTTTGTTTCCGTTAAATTGAGCTCTCAATAAAGGAATAATGCATCTGTTGTTTCAAATGTTCTCTAAACTCAGAAAAACAAACAAAAAAATTATTCAGAAAATCAGAAAAAAAAATTACTCGGAAAAACAAATCATAAAAATAAATTACTCTGAAAATCAGAAAAACAAAATTACTCCGAAAAACAAACCATAAAAATAAATTACTCCGAAAAACAAACCAAAAAATAAATTACTCCGAAAAACAAACCATAAAAATAAATTATTCTGAAAAACAGAAAAAAAAATTACTCCGAAAAACGAACCAAAAAATAAATACTCAGAAAAACAGACAAAAAAAAATACTCACAAAAACACAAATATTACCCCGAAAAACAAACCAAAAATTAAATTTTCAAGTGAATGCAATACGCTTCCGTAATAACCAAACAAATGATTCAAGTAAAAAATGTCCATTACGATCATTTCATGCTCATTTAATTTGTTGCTAAATAATACGTAGTTTTATTTTGAAAGTATTGACCAGAGGTTCTGCTATGTTGTCTAACTTACGGTAAGTCAACAAGAAAACTGCAAGTAAAACAACAGTTTATTAATACGGTTTTTTATTAATACCAATGTTATTGGTATTATTTGTAATGATAACACTACTGATGACTTAAACAAGTTGATATTAATAAGGAGGCTGCTCAAATCAACAGGCTGTTATTTTATAAATCGCCGCAAGTCCTCCCTGTGGCCACTAGAGGGCAGCAAACAGCAGACACTAATACTTCCGGTGAAAAGCTTAAAAAATAAAACAAACTTTACTTTTCTTTGCGTGTTGCGCCTTTGTGTTTACCACGTTGTAACTCCCCCCATTAAATCGATGTGTGTGTGCAGAATATATATATATATAGGCAAAAAAAACTACAATCAGATCGATCGGAAGAAGAAGATGCCCAATGCGCATGCGCTGCTAGGTTTGTTATTGTCACGTGACAGCGGACTCGACGCCTCCATTTGTCGCCAAGTAGTTTCTAGTAACTGCTCGAAATGATGAAATATGGAGAAATACAGCGCGCTGACGCGTGATTAAGCTGTGTATAAGTACATTTAAACTCCTCTGCGAGGGTTAATCTTACTTGCAGCAGACTCGGTGTAATAACGGGGTTAAAAACCGACAGTAAGTTTGTCTTTTATCACCATGAATGCGGACACAGTCGTGTGTGGAGGGATTTTACTCGTTATTGTTTGAATTGGATGTTTTGCAGATAACAGTATGAACTTTGTTGTTAGGCTTTGGACTGTAGTTCGCCTGACTTGCAGCCTTTTGTTCAGTAGTTAGCTCATTGACAGGGACTTTTCTGAAAGAGCCCTTTCTGATGTTTGTGTCTTCCTCCTCTTTGGTCCCATAAAGTGCTGATAAAGTCCTGATAAAGTCCTAATGTCGGGGTGTAGTCAGTGTACAGCTGCAGTGTAACTTAACAGACCAATGCTAACTTAGTATGAGCCTTTACCTGAACAGCAGAGACAGGTTGGTGTTATAGAGCCTTTACAGTACAATACAGAGCTGCTAGTCTGGATTACTTACAACACACATCATATTTTCTATCTGCTAGTGGTTTAATGGTTTTATTGGATATTTATGGGCACACCTCACTTTTAAATAAAACTAATCTGTGTGTATTATCTCAATCTCTCTGAGAGCCAACAATGTCTGTAAAAGGACCAACATATGTTCATAGATTTAAGTTTGGATTTATAGCTTTAGTGTTTGAGCGGATCTGAATTCAACTCATGGTCTTCTTTAGCAACCCAGCAGCATTTATTTAATTTATTTGTATAGCTTTTTAAAACAGACCTGATTGGATGGGTGGCTGTTCCAGAGTCGTGGAGCAACAGCAGCACCTTAGTCACCTTTAGTTTTCACCTTTAACCTTGGAGCACCCAGACATCCCTGTTGTGAAAGAGCGAGGCTCCTCCCAGTGACCAGAGGGCACAACAGCTCCGTTAATTTACTGTAAGAGTTCTTTGTAAAGCAGAAAATAACAACTAAACTCGCAGTTGTCTCTTTCCAGGCTGTTTTCAGTATGCACCGCAGACAGAGGGGATCCCATCTGGGCTTGCTGCTCCTGGCCTCCCAGCTGTTCCAGGTCGGTCTGGACAACATCCCCCCAGTCACCCTGGCCGTCCTGGGACTCAACGTGTACCTTTACCTGTTTCCTGCAGCTCCACTGATGCAGGTAATGCACTAATGCAGCACTTATCGTAGAGACAGAGTTATAGAGAATAAGAATAGTTAGTAGTACATATCGAGTTGAGAGAAAATGAATCAACAATTTTGATAATCACATAATTTTTAAAGTCATTCATCGAGCAAAAAC